TATTAAGAAACATTATTAAATTATTGTCATTGTCAAATTATTAAAACAAAAGGAAAAAGTTTGTTGATAACTAAAAATGAAATCATTGTTTGATCTATAATCATACTGTGGCGAATCGTTATTTAACTGTGGCGAATCGTTATTACTCTGTGGCGAATCGTTATGTGGCGAATCGTTAGTGTGGCGAATCGTTACTAATTCGTACATATCAGTAGTACAGAAACTGTTAAACACAATGTAAACATCAGGGTGCCGTTTTATCAACGGTCGTACGCCCGGTCGTAGCTAAGATTTGGTCGTAAGACCGATCTTACGGCTACGTCGCGTTTTATCAACATGGTCGTAGCTAAGACGTCGTAACTTTAAGGCTGCTCCAAACCAGTCGTAAGTAGGCTAAATATCTTAAAAATGGCGGCCATTTTTGCATTATTCCCGATAGGAACTTTCAAACACAAATATTTGAACAATTGAAGTTTTCAACTAACGTAGGTTTTCCGCGTACATGTTTATGTACAGTGCTGATCACATTTTAACATCCCAGGGACGCAACTATCACTTCCAGGTTAATCTCACCTTTGATGAAGATTTCAAGAAACATATTGAAGAAGAATTGTTTAACATCAAACAAAGTAAACATCATGTTACAGAAGAAGATGAAAGCCAAAGTTTCCTTAATAGATCTATTACAGTTCAAGAGGTAGAAGCAGCTATCCAGCATTTAAAGAAAAATAAAGCACCTGGGCCAGATAAAATATACACAGATTTACTTTTATACTCAAATAACCACCTTCTTGAAGCCATCACATATATTTTTTTCAACTCTCCTGGGATACCAGTATCCTTCCCCAGGCCTGGAAAACAGCAACAGTCAAATTCTTAAAGAAAAATGGAAAAGAGTCCTATTATAAGTCAGGTTCCTACAGGCCTATAAGCTTGACAAGTGTCCTTGGTAAATGTATGGAGAAAATAGTATATGCCAGATTATATGCATACTCAGAACACAAGAACATCATAGATGAAGAACAAAGAAGGTTTTTTAGAAAATATCACAGCACTACACAAGCTCTGTTAAGGCTTGTGCAGAATATCTTTTGATGGTTTTAATGAAAAACAGCACACACTAGCAGTATTTCTAGATTTGGGAGAAAGGCCTTTGACAGTGGTATGGAGGGATGGTATGCTTGTTAAGCTACAAAGACTGGGAATAAGAGGGAAAATGTGGCAATGGTTGGCAAACTTCTTAACTGGAAGATCAGCAAGATGTGTGTAGTAGCATGTGAAATAGGAGATACCTTCCAAACTTCAGTTGGATTACCACAAGGTTCAGTGCTCTCCCCCCTTTTGTTCAACCTCTACCTAACTGATATATTCCAAAACATAAAAAGCAATAGTAATCAAATTTGCAGATGATGGGACTATTTGGATGTCTGGAAATGACATAAATGATTTAGAAAAAATAATCAATACAGACCTAGCAACAATTAACACATGGACAGAGAAATGGAGAATGAAATTAAATTTAGATAAAACTGAATACACCATCTTTAATAGGAAAAAAGAAAACTTAGATCAAATAGAGATCTGCTTAAACAAGAAAGTATTGCAAGAGAAAGATAAAGTAAAAATTTTAGGTGTTATTTTAGATTCGGAATTGTCATTCAAAGAACATATAGAATACACTGAAAGAAAAGGCACTAAAGCATTGGCTTCCTTGATGTCAGTAGCCAAAACAGAGAAGATCAGCGTCAAAAATATGATAAATCTTTATACAAGCTTGGTTCTACCTCAACTGGAGTATGCAGTCCCTATTTGGCAGATTGCCAACTGTCAGCCCCTGGACAAGATACAAAGGAAAGGTTTTAGCTTACTGCCTTGGATTACACAACACAGCCAGTAAAGATGCATTTGAAGTATTGGCTGGAGTTCTTCCACTTGATTTGAGGCGAGAAGAACTGAGTATTCGAGAATGTGGGAAATAATGGCAAAAGGAATTAGGCAAAAACATTGCAAAAAGTTTTAAAAAGCTGTCAAGATAGGTATGGAAAAGTCAGAAGAAAAATTCCAATCTCCATTCTTTTGCATGCTCACACAGGTAGAGGACATGAAATCATTAACCACCATCACACTGAACAGTATTGAACCAGAGTTTTCATACCTTGAATACCTGCAACCATCTAGAACCAGACCAGATTATTTGGAACAATCTAGGATCCTCCAAAATCAAGAACTGTTAAACAAGAAGAAGATGCAAGACAACACATCTCATCACTTTCTATCTGATGTAGATACCAAAACAGCTGTAGCATTTACTGATGGTTCCTGTAGAGGAAATCCAGGTCCATGTGGTGCTGGAGCCTGCATTCTTCTTCCAAACACAGAAGTTATAGAACTGAAACAACCAGTATCAAAGTTATCATCAATTTTAGTAGGAGAACTGGTTGCCATTAAAATAACACTTCAAGCCCTACTTACTGAGATTGGAAGATTTGAAAATAAATAAGATAAAAATACTTAGTGATAGTCAGTCCGCTGTTGGAATTATTGATCTTGGCTGGGAAAATAAGACGCACAAATTCCTGTCAACAGAGATACTCCAGTTGAGGAAAGAGCTTGAATTAGCAGATGTTACAGTCAATTTTGATTGGACTCCTGGTCATGCTGGCATAAAAGGGAATGACATTGCTGACGGACTTGCAAAAGAAGCAGCAAAAGAAGCTGAGGAAATGGAAACAGAAGATTCACTCCTTGTAACAAGTCAAAGTGACATTCGCCACTCAGCTAGAGAATCAGTCCCGCATTAAATGGCAGAGAAGATGGGAAATTGTTGAAACTGGCAGGCATCTCTATGGACTCAAGCCTCAAGTCCAGCCCAAAAAAATTAACTTCCATGGCTTGAGCAACCAAAGACAGTTACTTCAACTACAAAGTGGATATTGCCTCAATGATTATCTGAACAAGATTGGGGCCAAAAACACAAGTCTATGTAATTGTGGAGAAGTTGAGACAGTAACACATTTTATAGAGGACTGTACCCTGTATGAGGCATCAAGAGAAAACCTGAAGAAAGAAATATTCCTAAAGACAGGAATAAGTGTATTTACAAAAGAACTATTGCTTTCAGACATACAAGAAGACCAATTCAAAGACCATAGGCAAGAGTTGTCAAATATTGCAAATGAATTTGTCAAATTATCCAAAAGATTTTAATTTTTTTTTTTTTTTTTTTTTTTTTTTTTTCTTTCATCCAAAAGATTTTTTTCCCCTTTCAGTTTACATTCTATTTCATAATCATTATTAAATTATGTAACCCTACTTGAGAGTTTTTTACCGTAATCGGAAATACCAGAGTTTAGCTGTACATACCGAGTGACAACACGGCCATTATCAAGGCTTTGAACGAAACGAAACGAAACGAATCTCTGATAATTTCCACGAAGAAGCTATGGTTAGTTATATTACTTTCATTTTAGTACAACCGACGTATATATGTGTGTTTAATATAACTCCTGTCACAGCTGTAACTAGATTAGCAAATATCTATACCGTTTCCTACTATTCTTTTCGAAATATTTTAGTACTGAAATTTCGGATAGTGCAGATTTCGGACAGAACATAGATCTAACAATTGTCAATAACAATTGTGTAATTGTCAAGCAATAAAACCATTTTCATTGTTATAATTAGTTAAGTATCTTCTGTTGTAGACCTTTCAATGAAGTTGCTACATTATCTAGGTGAAAGACATGTGTTAAGTATGTGAAATTAACATGGCAACATTATGTAACCTACAGTACAGTGCTGTAATGGGAATGCAAATGAAACTGAAGCACTGTTGTCTGGTAAAGCATGTACATGAATGCGAAATGAGCATCTTTAGATCCAATTTGTCGCATCACATGAAAAGAGGATTGTAAACAAAAAGGACAAAGTAATTTTGTGCAGACAGGTGAGTTTAAAAATATAGACAGTTTTAGTGTTCACTTCACCCCTCTTTCTATGAAATCTGATAAAAGAGCACTACACCCCCCTTTTTGGTTATATGTTGTCATTCTTGCATTTACACAAATTAAGGTGGAACACGTGAAATGCAATCAATTGCATTATGGTGATTAAAATATTCATTGTTTTAAACACATTTCTTGTTTTATAATAAGTATTGGACCAACTCAAAATATTGTAGAGATAATAACTTTTTCCCTAATATATTTATATGGTATTAATGATAATCAGTTAAGTACTTTATATTTTTTTCTAAAAAAATATACTTATCACATTAAAACTTCAAAATAAGTTTGACTATTTAAAATAACTTATTTTGTATTAGTCATTTAAAATTGGGTGACCTACTATCTTAGATATGAGATATCTCTTTCACCCCTCATTTGTTCTAACATTGATACTGGGAAATACATGTATATCCCAGTTTGACAGTACATTGATAGTTATGAAAGTTAGAAAATGACACATAATATTTCTTATCAACAATTATATAGCAGATTTTTCTTTATTTTTATGTCACATTGAATACTTTAAATTGTCTTTCATGTAATGTTTCAGAAAATGATGTAATATATCAAAGTTCCATGTTGCAAGTTAACTTGTCAGTGTTAAAAATATTGAAAAATTGCCTTGAGTTAAAAATTTTATAAAAAAATACTTAAAAAAAAGAAAATTAACAAACAAAAGGTTTATTTATTGATGAAATATTTATTCTAGAAATAATCAGGGATGATGGGTGAAGTGTCTTAATGATTTTGGGATGTGAAGTGTCTTCAGATGTTAAGTGTCTTGTTTCCACATTTAAACAAATACTATTGTAATATATTGTAGTAATGTTAGATTTGTGGAAATCACTATCATATTTACTCATAGTTTGTTAAAGTTTATGTAGATATTATCCTAGTAGGCTTCTTTTCAGGTATCACTTGATTTTCTTTTAAACATGTACATGCTATATAGAGTCTATGAAATTGTAGCTGAATTTTTATCTGATTTTCCTTACAGATATAAGGCAGCATGAATAGTTAGTACTTGGTGTATCTGCTGATCAATGTGTTTGTAAAAGAGATGAGGCTGTATATCACCAGGGTCAGTCGTGACAAACTTATTTTAGAAACAGTATTATAAAAGTAAAATTGCCTTACACTGTCAGAAAACTGACATACACTGTCAGAAATCTGACAGTTATAGAGGAATATCTAAAAAATTCAATAGTAAGAACCTATTTGAAAGCTCAATGGTTGTGACTGGCAAATATTATTACAAAGACATACCAAATTATTCAATAAAAACTATTAACATTTAGTTTATAAGGATTTCATTTGAATTATACATTTTCATATTTATCTGGTCTTGACATTTCATATGAGATAGTTTGGTAAAAAAAATTATTTGTATCAAATGACAATGTTAATTATTTGATTTTAAGTCAGATTATTCTCTGTAATGTTTCAGTCTACTGCTGAATGATGGAAGGTTTACAGCTAAACAATCCTATGGTTGGAATCAATATCCAGGGACAGCTCTCCCTTAAAGGGCCAAGTGTTGTGACCTTGTTATTTGGCCAACAAAGGACATAAAAGTCCTAAAGATAGTTATGAAGAAAGTTATATTGACTATTAAACATTTCATCAATTTAAATTGAATAAAGTACATCATGTATAATTTAATACATTCCATAATAACTTTGTTTCTACATGCACATGAATAAAAAAAACACTTGAGTATGGTCACAAAGAGATAGTCAGTGATCTACAATTATTACCCTGAATGCATGTAAGAAGCTTTATGTGAATGCTTTTTTTATTAATGATTAATGAAAACATATGCATAGGTTAAGGTCTTTAAGTTGTTTCTGAGTGTATACCTTGGATGGTACATGTTTGTACTGACTGTATATTCACTTTGTCTTAAGTGTCAAAACTATAGCTAAATCAAATATTTATATTTCTTGTAGTGATAACTTTACTGAATCATTCTCTTGAATAACATTATGAAATGTTTGATTCATTTTCAAAACTTGAAAAGAATACACAGCAAAATGATGTTCTTCTCTGTATTCAATTTGATTAAAGTGACTTTACAAAAACAAAGATTTATGTATTACAATTCATCTGAAAGTAAAATAACATGAGATAAATCAAAGTAACATGTGTGTTTATATTGATATTTATTGATTTATTGTTACTTGAATGCATTAAAAATTGTTTGGATGAATATTAAAAACAACAAAGAAAATAACACAAAAGGGACAATAATGAAAATAAACAATCAGAACAAAAAGCTGTGAGACTTTCTACAGAATTCCCTGGAAGTGACATTTTATATTTAATGTTCTAAATTTATTATTTGTCTTAACTGCTCTTGTCTGAATAGTGTCTTAACTGCTCTTGTCTGAATAGTACCCTGTGTCTGTTAAAACATATTGTTTTTATAATGTTATATAGTTTCAAGATTGTTTTCTAGCAGATATGTACATCAATTCTAAACAGGTATTATTAAAAATTAATATGAATTAAAAAAAATTGTAACATGTCATTTCAATGTCATAATTTTCTTTTCAATATGTATTCATTGTCATACTGGAATAATAATAAAAGACTTTGTAACATTGTAACACTTACTGTTCTGTAAATACTTTTACAAATAAGCCAGCCATATTGTTTTCAACTTTTCCTTAATCTTAGCTGAAACTGCTAAGAAAGACTATTCTAATGTTTGTAGATGTTGTTTAGCATTTACCTCACAGCCCTGTACATATATTTTGTACTCAAGCTGTGCCACCTGTAACTTATTCAATGTCATGAACGCACATACATGTTGAACCTTGATGGGTGTCTCTGTATTCAAGCATCAACAGCGCTTTGTTCGAAGTAAAAATCTTAAAACACTAGCTATGCTTTGGAAGCCTTCTGCTTTACTCACACAGTTAGGACAAGATACTTTACAGTTGACAGATCATAATGATGTATACTATCACGTTCTTTGACTTTTATTCAGCATTTTCTTATAAATACAGGGATGTAAGGGATATATTTACATAGTCATTGGTGATATTTAATTGTATCCTTGGATGACAAGAATGACGCTACCGCTTTTATTAGAAATAATGTGCCTAACATGCAGAAGGGATTTAAATTTTTGACATCGTCTATAACATGTTTTGTAGACTGATTTATGTCCTCCTTTTTGATGCATCTTTATATTTTGATCCGCAAATAAGTATCTATTTGTCTCACGGATTTATATAAATCCGTGAATGATTTACTGTTTTTTTTTATTTTATTAAGATCAATATACAATGTATCCCATGTATTTTTTAAAAATCTTCTACAAGAAAATAAATCGCATTCTAACACAAAAAGACTTATCGTTTGTTTGTACTTTATTTAGTTAGTTTGGAAAACAAAGTAACCCCTCGGAAGCGTTTATCACAACAAAATTACATAAAAATTGCAGACTCGGTTTGATTGAGTCTGTACATGAGGGATAATGAATACGTGCAACATCCCTCACTTAAATGTCCTTTTGATCATCCCCCATGCTTTGCCGTTATTAAAGCTACTTCGACGAGGCATACACGGTATTCAGTTTATGCATAGGTTTTTTGTATTGTATATATATGGAATTTTTTTTAAATCGTTATTTCTTTGTTTTGGATAGAATTTCGGGGTCCTGTGGTTAATCATCTTTATGCAGTCGTGTTTACATTGACAGGTGCGCGGGAAATCACGTGACCCGGAAACGTACTTTCGACAGTATGGTTACTGTTTATACGGTCGTACGACCGAAAATGGTCTTAGCTGCGACTGAGGGCGTACGACCGTGTTCATAAAACGGTCATGAGGAAATCGTAAGCTCGGTCGTAAGTATCGGTCGTAAGATAAGATCGCAGTTACGACCGTCTTTGTTGATAAAACGGCACCCTGATTTTCAATTTTTCCTACTTTAAATACGTGATTGTATTGAGCGCACATTTTAAATATTCATGATAGTACAATTGTACATTCATCATGTACACTTCTCGTGTTGTAGTCATCAATATGACAATAAACCTGTAATTGTTACATAAAATATATATATTTGTGTCTTGAGACAGATATATTCATAAACTGAATGCTACTAAATCCTTGAATAATGACCTGTTTGGCGTAAGTTAATGAAAGAAATAAATTTGCAAACCGATTTTTTATATATATATATATATATAAAGAAGTTCGATTCCTTGTGTGGATCTCATGTATAAAGAAAGTATGTTTTGGGAAATGCAGAGTACAGAGTTCTTTAGTTTTTTATACGTTTATTTCTGTTAGCGCTTTCAAATTTTTTCACATATCTTCAGACAGTAACGTATAATATAAACATAACAAATATAACAATGACGTAACGTTATAAAAGTACGGGAAACGTAAAAATACAACGTTGCGCTGCAAATGAGATATTCTTTTACCTTCTACATAAGAAGTATGAAATTGCTACAAAAATACATAGGGTAAATATTCTATAAAGGAGGTAATAAATAAGTATTAAAATTCAAAACATTGACTAATTATAGAAGTAGATACAACGTTTTGCATTACCTATAAATACTTTTTAATATTAGTGAGCTAAACGAGTAAAAATATGTCAGAAAAATGTATTACTTGAAACCATGTGGAAATGGAAAAATATTTACTTATATAAATTTTAAAGATCTTGCATGAACCGTTATATAGACTAAATAAAGGGAGGTAATAAATATGCTTTAAAATGAAAAAGCATTGACTTATCATAGAAGTAAATGCAAAATTTGTATTACTAATAAGTACTTTTTTATATAATTAGCTAAACGAGTAAAAAAAAATATCAGACAGAAAGTAACTTAAAAACCATGTGAAATGTAAAATAATTGTTATATATAAATACCCAAGTTTATTGTAAAAGGTTAATATGAGCTGTTTAATTGTGGCTTCAATATGCTTATAAGAAATAATTCTTTTTCATCTCTGAAATGATCATCAATCTTCAGTACTTTATATAGGGGAAAATATATTAAACTTTTCCCCCTGAACACTCATGTAGATGTTTATTCACCTTAAGAAAACGAAGTGACTCTGTATTAGTTTGTTGTCTATGTAAATTCATTCGTAAGTTTAATCCATTTCTAGTTTGCACAATATAAAATTGTTGACAATTTGGACAAATAATACTATATATTACATTTTTAGTTATACAGGTCATACTTTGTTTTACTGTGAAATTTTTGCCATTTGTAAACTGAATTGTGTTACCTTCGATAATTGAAGGACATGTCTTACACCTGGTTCTGTTACATTTTGTTACAGACGGAATGTCCACTTTCATATCAAATCTGGAGGATGATAAAAGTTGTTTTAAGTTTTTCGGCTGTCTTTTACTGTTTATAATTCTTTTCTTTTGTAATATATTCTTCATTCTTTCACTCTTTTGTAGAATTATTTTACAAGAATTTATAACTGGGAACATGTTTGTATTTCTGGGATTGTGTGTTGAAACGAAAGGGATAACATCATGGGCGGAAGTACGAGTGTCTTTACGATCAGTGGTCTTGATGGGTCCCTTCGATATAGCCTGCTCTATTCCATGTTGTATCAGTACATCTGGATAATTCTGTTGTTTTAACTGTAATTTCAATTCTGTTAGACGCTTTTCTTGTAAGTCTTTATTTTTCACGATAGTAATAATTCTTGAAGCTAAATTGAATGGTATGTTAACTTTACTTTAGTATGCTTAGGATGACATGATCTAAAATCTAATTAGTTGTGTGTATCTGTAGATTTACAGTATAAATCTGTACAAATGTTATGTCCTGACTTCAAAACAAGAATATCCAAAAAAGCCATCGCACTTTCACTTTCATTATATGTGAATTGTATACTTTGATGCAAGTTATTAAGTTCGTTTAAAAAATCAGACGTGTCAATTTCTTTTGGTAGAATTAAAAAGCAATTGAATGCTGACAATAATCATTTATTCAAAATATATATTCAGATAGATTATAAGCGTGTGTTTCCCGCACTTTTATAACGTTACGTCATTGTTATATTTGTTATGTTTATATTATACGTTACTGTCTGAAGATATGTAGAAACATTTGAAAGCGCTAACAGAAATAAACGTATAAAAAATTAAAGAACTTTGTACTCTGCATTTCCCAAAACATACTTTATATATATATATATATATATATATATATATATATATATATATATATATATATATTCACACATATCTTCACTTACGGGGCCCATATATAAGACCGAGTTGAGTGGCATTATTTCATGCAGTCAGTTTTTATATACGCCACTATATAGGCCTATAATGAACATTTCCATACAACAGAACTAAGGGGTACTTAGTTATATATATAAACTATATATTTGATTTTACCATAGGTGAAAACATATTGACCAATAACAGAAAACCCCATTAAAAATATATACATTTGTGGGACATATATCATTTACTACTAAAACCGGCCTACGGGCACTATGTTAGAAGGGTAGCCTACGCCCCCATACATCGTTTTAAACATGCCAGAGTTGCGAGGCCTTATGTATGCCCCACATTAAATATACACCCACAAGTATGGTCTCAAATAGACCGATGCCCCGTAAATGGAGGAATGTGTTTGTATATATATATATATATATATATATATATATATATATATATATATATATATATATATATATATATATATATATATATATGTGTGATATATATATATATATATATTATATATATCATGAAAGACACATCGGTCAGCTATCCTTTACATTTGTGAAAATCATCCTATGCGTATTCATGAACATTAATAGTTTGGATTTATCAACCCCGAATTTATATAGAAAATATAACTCAAGTTTTTCTTTTTTTTCAATTGTTCAGCTCAATAAGTTTTGATTAACTCATCTTCGGTGTCATATTACTATAAGGTAATTGTAATTCAGTATACACATCTTTAAAATATTACAGTTGATTACTCGCCAGTAGCATAGCCTATTAAAAGGCCATAATATTGGAATCATACATCAAAGAATGATAATATTGGTTTTTGTTGTCCTTTTTTGACCGGCTTACATGCTGCTTATAAATCGTGGATTTTAGTATTTTAATTAGCATTTTATTCATTTAAACTGTCGCAAGCGCTTTGCAAATGTGATTGGCTTACGTTGTAGCTAGGCACTCCGAAATTGATATTGTTCTTTGGAGAATATTTCATATTTGTTTGTTCGGAGAAGATTGTGGCCATTTCATTTCAATAATATCTTCTCTCACATTGTTTTAGTTTGTGACTTAGTCATTAATTGGACAGAATTTATGTCAAGCAAAATGAAAATATTAACTACAGCGCGAACTAAAATCTGTTTATGAAACTGAAGGGACTTCTTTACTATAAGCAGTCGTTTCACAAAATTTGATATGCACAAGGTCCATGGATCCCTTATTATATATAACTATATTTCAATTGATCTTAAAACATTAAGAACAGTCAATAATTCTTGTACAAAATATTCAATGAAATCGGATATAATGTTTTCAAAACATCAATGGTACATTGTGTTCCATTCAAAAATATTTTAATTGTTTTG